TCGATATCTAAAACTCCATTAGAGTTTTTTATTACTTGTGCGATACGCATACTTGCGTTGATTTTAAAGGGAATTTGACAGTTTAAAAAGAGTTTTAAAGATAAACTATTAAAGATAAACGATAAACTATTTTCATAAAAAAGTATTTTTATTGGGATTATATTGCATATTTATTGTTATATATGTCGTGTGTATTTTGTAACATTGAAAAATATTTATAAAATTTACATACTAAATCTATCCCCATCAGTAAATTTCATGTTATGCCATTTTACCTTCTTCTCCCTTTCATTTTATTAACAGATTTAGGGGACAAAGCCTTGCATGTGTACTTGCATGAAAATAATTTACATTCCTCAGCTGTAGACTTGACTTTAGAGTAGTGACTCATGATATAATTCCTGATGATTTGATAATGATATATAATAATTTCTTAAGTACTGTGAATGTTGATTAAAATAGAGGTTTATAATTAATTTTCTAACAAGTTATTTCTTCACTTTAATGATTTTTAAATGAAGCCTAAAAAGTCTTAGAATAATTAAAAACGTGTAATTGAAAATATAAGTAATTAACCAAAGATAATTAAGCCTTTAAAATATTAGCTCAAATAATCTAATTAAATTTTAATCTTTCAATGAATTATAATATTTTTGAATTCAAATTAAGAAGGAATTGAGAGCTATCAATTAGTGAAGGTTATATATAAAAATGCATGACCATATATAGTAGTTCTAAGTTGAATTAAAGATTTTTTTAAATGAACTTAAAATAAAATAAAAATAAAAAAGACAAAATTTTTACAAGGCCTTGTTCCCAAAAAAAAAAAAAAACAAATGACCTGTCTTTTTTAGAAGAAACTTGAGGTTAAAGAATGAAAATAAAAAGTTGGTGCCTAATTCTTTACATAATTAATTAAACTTAAAATCTTTCTTAATAGAATTTTTAAATGTTATATTCAGAAAAAAAGTTTGGTGACTTTGCATTGTTTGACTTATAATTAACTAAGTTAAAAATATTTTTGTGAAATAAAAGTATTTTAATCAAGTTGAATTAAGTGCTTTAAGATCAGCTTAGGCTTAAGAAGTGGATTAAGGAAATGCTAGATTATTTGAGAAATATGAAAACCCAACCTTAAGATGATTTATTCACATCTTTCATTAAAAATTATATAGTGTTTTTAGAGAATAAAAAAGTCTTATATGAGATATACAAAAATCATTTGAATAAATCTAAATTTTAGATTTGAGATTACTTGAGGAAAATTATTAGGTAAGTTGAGGAAAATTGATGTGAATTAACTTTGATATATTTTCCTTCATAAATCTCAAGTTTTTTTTTTTTTTTATAATTTTATACTTGTGGAAGGCATTTTTGCTCTATTTTGTAATTTATAGGTATTGAGCATGCGTCAGAAAGCAAAATTACAAATTTGGACCAAACAATATGACCAACATACCTACGCCTCCCTATGACATATTTACGCCAGGCTCTCTAGCAGATGAAGTAATAGAACATTCTAAGTAAAAAATGAGGTGACATAATTATGACAGTTTGTGGCTTACTTATGCAGCCTTATGGCGTACATATGTAGCCTTGTGGCGTAGCCACGCAAGGTTCCACCCAAGAGCAGTTTTGGTAAGGTTTTGGAGGTAGTTCAGGCTGTGACAATTTAAGGAAACTTAAGGGACGATTTAAGAAATCTATTGGCTATTTGGTGGCTTCCTCTTCTCAACTTTAGAAGATTCTTGGGGCAATTTAGGGCTTTGTCCACTAATTTTCCTTTAGAGAAGATTTTTTGGGTTTTTTTAAGAGTTTTATGAGAGAGAGATTTGTGTGCACTTGCACGAGGGAGTTAAACAGTGAGCTCACATTGTATGGAGAGAATTATAGTGTATTATAAGGAGAGGTTGACTTGGGTTTGCTTTTTTATTCCTTCTTATGTTGTATTACTTATTATGTCAAAAGAATTTTTTGTAACTTTTCTTCCTGCATTGTTTTCCTTCATAGGTTTTCAATGCTTTTTTATGAACAAAATATAGGCTAAGGAGGACTTATCCTTGGTTTTCAACAATAACGACGAGAAATCATAGGAAAACAATTGACAAATCACTAAACCAACATTATAGGATTATGAACTTTTCATCTATGACTAAATCCAACAACTTTAATTCCATTTTCTAATTGTTATATTAAAAAATTTGAACCCTTTAAACCTTTGTAACTCTGAATACATCAAACTAGACGTAATAGTTTAGATTCACATGTTAGAAAAAAATGATAAATTTATATTGGGATTGATACACAAACTCTATTTTCATTTATTATTTAGTCAAAATGTATGCTTACATGATTGTCAATTGTCTCATAATTGTTTCGAGCATCAGCCATTTAACCACATGTGGTCAAACTTGGTTGATCAACTACCATCCTCGGGAAGTTCTATATTTAAATTATTAAACCACTTTAGTGTTTAATTTTATTGGCTTATTGGACTCATTTATATTAAATATTGTCAAAATAGATTAATTGAGCTCATTTGATCTTCTTAGTGGGCCAATATTTTAAATATATATGTATTTTACCTGGGACATCCTATCGTGGGCTTAGGGCCATCTTACATTATTAATTTAAATATTAAAGGTTGCTTGGTCAAATTTTGATGGAGTTTTTGGTCATCATTGATTTTAGTTAAAGAAATAGCCTTCATACTGAGGGAAGTTCCATGGGATATTTATGGTTCACTTGTTAGAATAATTGAATGTCTCAAGTCCACTTAGGTTCATGGTGTGTTAAATGAACCAAGTTTGAATTTTCTTGATTAATGAGTTAATCAATGTCAAATAAAAGCCAAATTAACACAATTTTTTTATTAAAAATTAATTTAAATAATTCTTAAGAATTAATTGAACTTAATAAGGTCAAAACGATCAAGTTGGTAAATTTTTTAAAAAAATTGATGTTAATGGTCTGAAAAGGTTAATATGGCTAGATAGAAGCAACATTTCACCAATATAAGGATAGATTGAAGCTAAGGTGTATATGATTAAGCAACTAAAACTTTTATAGGATAATTAGAATTGTTAGTTTGAACAATCTGACTAAAATTAACAAAATGGTTCCTATAGAACAAATCAATTAATTTTGGTCTAATGTAGTTAAACGACAAAATTTTGCTTCGTCAAAGATTAATGTGCCTTTACTTGGACATTGAGAATTTATAAGACCTATCTAAGAGATTGGTTAAGAGCAATTTTGCTAATTTCTAAGATACAAATTGATATTGGCATAGTAGGGTCTTATCAGGCCAAACTTAGATTCCAATGGGTTTAGATTACTACAAAGGCGAACTATGGCAAAGACACTTATGGGTTTGATGATCTAAATGTTATAAAAAGGTTTAGCTAAATAATAAAATAATTTGAATCAAGCACTGAAGCCAATAATGATAGAATTGAGGATGAAAGTGCAATACTTGAAGTTAACTTGTGTGTAGTTTGATTCGAGCCAAAATATGACTACATGCTAATCATTAAATTTGTGACCACTTTTTTATTGCGAAAAATTTGAAAACTTCTAGCAAATAAAGCGTTATAAAGTGAGGAGGAAGTGACTTCAGTCTTCAAAATGCCAAAATATACAAATTTATTGATATGATCTCAAAAAATTGAGATCCTTAAAAAAAAAAAAAACTTGTATTTTTCCTTTCGTATATTAATTGACTTTACGCTTGTAATTTGTCTTCATTTTCTTATATGGAAAATGATGAAGCTAAAATTCATAGGGTTGTGAATGAATTGTGTTGAGTCAAAGGTAGTTCAAACTTAATTTATTTGCCATTGTGTGTTTATGCTTGACTCGGACTTGATTTGAGTTTTTATTATGATGTTCAAACTTAGTTCATTTTAACATATGATTGTTTCAACTTGGTTTATTTCTTGATCAACAAGCTTTACAGAGCAACTCGTCTGAAACCATGAATAAGCATTATCGAGTAGAGCATATTGGATCGTAACAAGCTAAAACTACTAAGCTTAAAAATATAAATTTTAGTTTAATGGACTTTTAAACCTTTTAAAAGCATGTTAAATATTTCCTAAAACGTGACTTAATAGATTCCCACAATACCATATGGGTCACAAGCTAATAATTTAACTTAAATTCTTATAACTTATAAATAGTAAAACTTTAAACATTTTAATGATGTGGGAATGAATGATTACAAATAAGTTTTGATAGAGTTTTATATATTATCTTAATTAAATATTATGTGGAGTATGATTTTAATTATTGTAATAAGCTTTAATGAAAATTTTTAATGAGTTTATTTATGAATGATTACAAATAAGATTCGATTGAGTTTTATATATTTTCTTAATTAAACATTTTGTGTTGTATGCTTTTAATTATTATATTAAGTATTAAAGAAATTTTTTAACGAGTTTATTTATGAGTTTTAAATAATACTATTCATGATTATAAATATATGACCCATAAATTATTTTAATTTTATCAATCTAAGTATTAAATTTTTTATTATTTAATTAAATGAACATGAATGTTTTTTATATAAGCGGAGTTATAATTAATTTGCAAGATGCTTAATTTATTAGTGGGCATAAAAATTAAGGGGCAGCTATAGCTTATTGAATAATTTGATGGTAAGCTAATTAAAAATAATCTGCTCATAAGTTAGATGCAGTGACTATTAAAAAATTTATTTTCTTGGAAAAGTCAGATTGTTGCCAAAAAGCTCCCACCATGGTGTGAAAACGCAACTTTCAACTTTTTCAAAACCCATAAGCTGCCAAAATGCAGTTTGCCCAAACAGTTCAGGTACATTTTCAAAACACCACCGCACCAAATAAACTACCCAAATTATTTGTTCAGTTAATTTGAAAAATCAAGCTATAATTTTAGGGCAACCAAAATTTGCGAGTAGTTTGGCGGGAAGTGGTTCCCACGATCCTGAAACTCCCGCCCATCAGTCCTCAAACCTTTTATCAACTTCTACCGTGCAAGCTTTGCTTTGCAGACGGTGTTTGGGGCTTTGATCCAACCAAAAGCAAAATATGTCCTTCACCCAATTCGATGGTAATGCCTCCCTTTTCGCTGGCGGCGGTTTGACGTCTTCTCAAGTGACCCAACCCGCCGATTCCTCACTCTCCAAAGTAAACTGGTCTTCTCAAGGTTTGAACTCTTTCCTTCCCTACTTTTGCCCATTTAGATCTTTTGCCGTTTTCCTCCTCAGGGTCGCACTGCCAATGGAGTTATACCGCTGACTGTAAAGCAGATCAGCGATGCTTACCACTCTAGCGATGATATGTCTAGCTTCGCCGTCGATGGTGTTGTTGCCACCCATGTAACCCTTCAAATGAAGACCCTGCATTTCTTTTTTCATTTCAAGTTTTGTTTTATTCGTGTGAAACCCAATAAATATCCCGTTCACGCAGTTGAAACTTTTGGGACTGGTGATGAACAAAACCGAGAAGACGACGGATGTGACATTTACAATTGATGATGGTACTGGGCGGATCAGCGTAATCAGATGGTGAGGGAAGTCTTTTAGTTTATTTTCTTAATTAATGTTGTATGGTGTCATAAATTATGGGATTGCTCTTTGCAATGTGCAATAAATTGTTTTGGGGTCTGTTTAAAGGGTTAATGACACTGCAGATGCAAATGAAGTGGCTCTGATTCAGTAAGTAGTGTTAACAATAAGTTCTCATTGGTTCTCTGGTTCTTTGATTTGCTATTTTGAAATTCTTCTTCTTCTATTGCTTAGGAACGGCATATATGTTACAGTTATTGGGACCTTGAAGGACTTCCAGGGAAAAATGCAAGTTTCAGCTTTCTCCATTCGGTGAGCCAAATGTTCTTACTTGTTAATTTATAGGAATTCAAAACAAATTGTTGGTTCATGTTAGCATGATTTTCTTGGATGAATTTGCCTGTTATGGGCAGATGAAGTTTAAGATATGCGTGCCAATTAGGAAGATAAAGTAGTGAGAACTATTTTTTCTGCCGTGGAGCCTCTAAATTCTCTATTTTGATAGTTTATTGAATAAGATTAAAAAGGAATTTTGTTCAAAATTATGGATTTTTTTTTCTTTTTCATGGCAACATTCTGGAAGGTACAATTATTTAAATTGCATTGTACAAACATTGGTGCTAGCAAATTCCAACTGGGTTGTAGCCTTTTTAGTTGCAATTGTCTTTGTTTTCTAAAATTGTTCATGAGCTAATCCCTCTGATAGGTAATCTCTTGATAAATAAATATTCCTTTAAAATGTTCTGGTAATCAGACAACAAAATTTCAGAGGTGAACTTGTTCTCTTGATTTGGGATATTGTGTTAGTATTTTTTAAATGAAGGCTTTTGTTCTAAACTACAAAAGCACATCCCTGTGTAGTAAAATATCTACTTTTTAGTGCAGCTTATTTTTTGATTTTGTTCCAATTTTGTATAGTGAAGGTAGTTTTAGGGCCCGTTTAGGCCTGTTTTTTTGGCGTGTTGCGTTTTGAAAACGTAGTTCCGGCCGTTTGGAAACAGAGGCACAACGGCGTTTCTAAATAATTTTTGTTAAAATGCGGTCGCTAGATCAAACCCCGACCCACGTTTCTTTGCGTACATTTTATCCCGCGACCCTCTAGCTTTTCTTCTGCCTCTCTCAACCCCGTGGCTCCCTCTCTTGTGTTTTTTCTGCCCTAGCTACCTCTCTCAATCGCTCTCACGAAGTTTTTATCACACTGCCTCGGTATCTCTCTCATTTCTTTCTCGCACATCTCAAACGACCTCTTCAGTGGCAATTGGCCTTTCTCCTCTCTTTTCCCTTCGATATCTGGTTATTGTGCATGATATGTAAATTCTGTGCTCATTTTTTGTTGGGATGATTTTCTCTTTGCGTGGCTTTCTCATTTATGTGCTCATTTTTTGTTGGGATGATTTTCTCTTTGCGATTTGTGGCTTTCTCATTTACGGTATATAGGATTTTGTGAGAATTTTATGGAATCGATCTCATTTTTTAAGTAGAGCATTCTCATTTTATGGTTTTCACATTTTCATCTTTGGTTGTAATTGTGGATTTTGCGGGTTATGTGATTTGTATGTTTCTGTGGAATGGTATTTGGGTGCTATGTATGTAGATAACACTATTTAAGGTGCCCTCTGTGTAGATAACACTTTTTAAGGTTCCCCATATGTAGATAGCAATGTATTAGGTGCCCTGTATGTCACTGCATTGAAAGATAGATGAAAGAAGGAGCTTGATTTGTAGATAACACTGTTTCGGTGCCCTGTATGTCACCGTCTGAATTGAAAAATATGGATTATTCCAAGTACCTTTTTCTCTGGTGCATTGTATGTAGATAATACTGTTTCGGGTGTCCTATATGTAATTAGTGAGAATTTGAAAAATGGGTTCCCTGTAAGTAATTGCCTCAAATGAAAGAGTGCTTGATTTGTATATAGCAATGTTTCAAGAAACTGTATGTAATTGCCTCAAATGAAAAATATGGGATGGGGTTCCACCATTATTTGTGATGTTTGTGTTAGAATTTGAAAAATGTATGAAAGAGGGTGTGTTGATTTTGGTTGTAGGCTGTGAGGAGGTCGTGGTGTGTTGTGGGAGAAGGTGATGTGGAAGTTGAGTGGTGTGGTGTGCTATTGATGTTGGTGGTTAGTGTGGTTGGGGTGGTTGGTGTGTGGTTTGGAGAAACTGAAGTTGTGTTGGTTATATGGTAGTGCGATAGTGGTTGGTGTGTGGAGGTGGGTGTTGGTATTTGTGTGAATGTGTTTGGTTGGTGTGTGGGGGTGTTGGTGCGTGATTATGGAGGTGGTGATGGTGGTGTGGTGGATGTGTTGTTGTCCTGATGTGTTGGTGTGTAAGGTGTTGGTGTGGAGGAGGTGGTGTCTGGTGGTGTGTGGAGGTGGTGCTGTCTGTGTGGAGGTGGTCGTGGTGTGGTGGATGTGTTGGTGTCTTGGTGTGCTAGTATGTGGAGGTGTTGGTGTGGAGGAGGTGATGTCTGTGTGGAGGTGGTGATATTGGTGACGATATTGTGGCATTTCTATTTATGTAATTAGTTTTTTCCTATACTAGTAATACAATGATTAAGACAAAAGATCCCGGTTCATCTGTAATATGGGATAAAAAGACAATATTTTTACAACTTCTTTCATAACAGGATTCGGTCTCCTTTGATGATTAACCCTGGGTTTGCAGTTCTTTTTTATATGAATTCTATGCATACAAATTGAATGTATCATTTCTTTAATATCAGCAATTGTCCATCCAAAGGTTTTTTTTAAATTTTTTTAGAATTTTCATCAACCTTTCTTCTTCTTGTATCGTTAACTTTGAGGAAATTATAACTGGTAAAGTAGAAGAATTTTTTTAAAAAACATATTTTAAATGATCAGGAAGTAACTTCAACTCAAGTTCTAGAGGTTTTTCAATAGATGAAAAAAATGATTTTTTTGTCTATTGTGTCCAAAATTTCAAAAATTTCTCAAACATAGTTTGGATCTTTCTTAAAAAGATATTCACATTGATCTAATTCCTCTTTTTGCTAGTGTTCCAAATTTTTTTCTTTAGATTTTTCTTCATAAGTTGTTTTGAAATGACATTCACTTAGATATCTTATAATATCCATTCTAAAACATTTATCTTTACCTTTTGCAGGGTATTTCATTGATCTTGAAATGTTAAAAGTAACAATTTGATCATTGACACACATTGTTAATTCTCTTTTCTGCACATCTATCATTGCTCTTTCTGTGGCCAGGAAAGGTCTCCCTAAAATGATAGATATCTCTTTATCTTCCTCCATATCTAGCACAATGAAATAAAAAGAAAGATAAATTGATTCACTTTCACTAGGATATTTTCTATAAATCTTATAAGGTATGTTATAGAACGATCTGCCAACTACAGAGTTACAATAGTAGGGTTTATTTCTCCTAATCATAATTTTTTAAATATTGATAATGACATAAGGTTAATGCTTGCACCTAAATCACATAAAACTTTCCCATAAAATCTATCTTCTATTGCACATGAAATTGTAAAGCTATCAGGATCTTTAAATTTTTTAGGAAGCTTCTTCATTATAAACACTGCACTCTTCACTAAGTGCAACAGTCTCATTATCTTCAAACTTCCTTTTCCTGTTGAGAATATATTTTATAAACTTTACATAACTTTACATTTATTTTAAGGCTTCAACAAATGAAATATTAATTGTAAGCTTCTTAAATATTTCCAAAAATTTTAAAAATTATTTATTCAACTTCTGCTGACGAAGTCTCTGAGGAAATGAAGGCGGTGGTTTTTTCAAATCAATTTTTAGCGGAGAAATCGATCTTTCAGAATCTTTTGGAGTGTCCTCTTTTCATTTTTCAATTTCTTCTCTCTATATTTCAATTTATTTTTAAACTATACATTCCAACTCTCTTCCGCTTCTAAGTTGAACGACTTTTACTTGCTCTTTATTCTAGTATTGTGGATTTGATTCAGTATTACTAGGAAGTGTTCTTTGTGATCTATTACTAAATGAATTTGCTATTTGTTCAAGTTGATTCTCAATATTTCTAATTGTAGCTCCTTGACTTTGTAATTGATTTCCCATTTGTAACACCTCTTCTTCTATAGACAATTTCTCTTTAAATTGTGTATTACTGTTGAAACCTGGAGGATAAGTAGATCTATAATTATTATTCCCTTGGTTGTTCCAGTTTCCCAATGAGTTTCCTTGGTTGTTCCCTCATTGTTGATTATTACCACCCGAATTGTTATTTCAATTAAAGTTGGGATGGTTATTCCAACCTGGGTAATAATAATTTGAATATGGGTTATTCTGCTTGTTATTTATGACATTCAAAGTTTCTAAGGATGCTTGAGAATCTACCATTTGGCCTAATGAATTCTCCTTAATCATGAAAATTGGTTGAGAAAAAATCATTCTAAATTGGTCTAACTTTCTTGAAATTGCAGCAACTTGATTTGCTAACATGGTAAATGCATCAATTTCATGAATATTATCTACTTTATTAGGATTAACCTGCTCAGAAGACCATTGAAAATTTTGGTAGTAATTTCTTCAATTAAAGTATAAGCGTCATGAAATGGTTTTGACATCAATGACCCACCAGTAGCGGCATCGATAATTAATCTAAGCGATCCAACTAATCTATTATAAAAAAATTTAATTATTAACCAATTTGGTATAGCATGGTGGACACTTTTTTAAGAGTTCTTTAAATCTTTCCCATGCTTCATAAATAGATTCCCCTTCAAGCTGATTAAAAAATGTAATTTCATTTCTAAGCTTTGCAGTTTTTTGATGGTGGAAAATATTTAGCAAGAATTTTTTGTGTTAAATCAACCCAAGTTCTGATAGATCCAGGTGCTAACGAATTCAACCACATTTTAGCTTTATCCCTCAATGATAAAGGAAATAACTTAAGTCTTATGACATCATCTGATACACCATTTTATTTAAATGTAGCGCATACTTCTAGAAAATTAGAAAGATATAAATTTAGATCTTCAGTTGGTGATCCTCCAAACTGATCATTTGATATCATTTGGATAATAACATGTTTAAACTTAAATGAATTAACTATTGCAGTAGGTTTTTGAATATTACAATAAAGTTCATCTACAGTAGTGTCGGCATAATCTCTTAATGGTCTAAACTCTTGATGAATTTCAGTATTTTGACCATTTTGATTTGTCATTTTTGTAATTTCTTTTGGAATTTTCAAGCTTTTTAATTTTTTTGATTTTTCTGATTTTTCTAATAGGTCTTTCTAATTAAGAATCGTATGACACTAGTTCTTCAAAACTTGAACTACACATACACT